TGAACTGGGCAGCAACCCCTGTGAAATGGTCGTTCGACCCCCAAAGGGGTCGTGACCCACAGGCTGAGAACTGCTGCTCTAAGCCTAAGATGGTTTTTGCTTGAAATGTACATTTTCATTTAATTTGGAAATAGATTTAGTGTTCTAAGACTGCAAAGTTAGCAAAGCTAAATGACTTCAGAATGTGAGCTACTGGTCACTGTTCTGGTTATCCTTTTAATAGGATTTTTCAGAATAATACAATAACTAAGAAGAATCAATAAATCAAATACTCTCTAAGTTTACACTGTATGCACAGTACTCTGGGGTATATTTTTAAAAGTCTGCCTACCAACGGCCATAATTTAGAAATAAGATTTATATGAAACAATCAGTGAACAAGCCATTATCTAAAACAATACTGTGCTATGTGGTACACACGCAGATTTAATGCATGTAAGAATTAAAGATGGCAGAAAAATAGGGACGATCCCTAACAGCCTAAAGGACAGAGAACAAGATTCTTGAAGTTTTGGGTGAAATAAAATTTATAAAACATTGACATAAATATGACATTGCAGAGCTCCACTTCTACTTATAGGAAGAGCTATATAAAGTATCATATCCAAGTTTTCCTGAGCCTATCAGTAAGCTGAAATCTCAAGGCAACCAAGTATCTTATATACTCGAGTATAAGCCGACCCAAATATCAGCCAAAGCATCCAATTTTACCATAAAAATTTCATTAAAAATGTGCGGGAAAACTCAGCTTATACACAAGTATAACCGGTAATTTGAAATGAAGGAAACAGTAGATCTTGCTAAAAAGCGAAGGAATGTATTGTATAAACGGCCTTAGAGCTAACAGCAAAGGAGAACAGTGACCATATAAGCAAGTAAGGGTTGTATGAGCCCCTAATAAAATGATTAAAAAAAAAAAAAAGCTGTAAGGACCCCCAATAATTTTTTTTTTTAAGTGAAAGGGTGAAGTTTAGCCTGTCAATCAGGCCACAACTTGATGACTTCACGTGGAAGCACTAAGAAGAAAAATAGCTCGCTGGAGGTGGGACACGTACTCATTCCCTGAGAGACATGCTTGCTGACAAGACACATGGAGTTACACTAGAGCCCTGGAGCTGAAGGAGCCAAGTAGAGACCCTTGTCAGTGCTGAGATGCCTCTACCACCACTAGATCCACAAAACTTTCCACCCTGTGATCTTTCTGCATTCAGCATCATTGCATGTGTTTCGTGAGTCTGAAGAGGAATTTAGACTGGTGTCAGATATCAGACTTATGGACTTGATCTGGACTGGGCTGGGATGTTTTCTCAATATCCAATTTGCTCTTGTATATAAAGCTCTTTCTTATGCCCACACAAAAAAAGAAAAAAATCTTTTAAAATTTTAACAACTGAAAAATGCCAAAAATAGGCTAGTAGATAGCCCCAAATACAAGGTATTTATACTCATAAACTCTTTTCCATGGACCTAAACAAGCCGCTCACAGATAAGACTGGAAATAAGGCCAAACCAAAACAAACTCATTGCCATCACATTAATGCCAACTAATAGCGACCCTACGGGACAGGGTAGAACTGCCCTTTGAGTTTCCAGTACTGTCACTGTTAATGGAAGTAAAAAGCCCCACCTTTCCTCTCGGGAAACTGAGGATGGTTTCAAACTGTTGTTAAGAGTCTACCTTGGTGTTGCAAGACTATGAATGAAAGACTAATGTGGAAAAGTCTCTACCAAGACTACTCTCTTATATAAGAAAAACCCCTTAAGCCAATGGTGGAGACCACCACACCTTGTCACCCCCAACATATAAAGACCAATTGTCACTGAGGAAAGAGATGAGGTAGGGTGGGGTAAGGTGGGGGTGGGTGAGGGGGAGCCCTGTTCCTCTGGTACAAGGAAAGAAAATTGTCCTGAGCCTATAGGCCTAAAACAATAACTGTAAGAAAGTAGAAAACTTTCCACAGAAGATCTGCCAGAGAAACAAGTCAGAATTTGACTGCCAAAAGGGGAAAGACCAGGAATCTTAAGAAAACTCCATCCCTAAAAAACAAGCAAACAGAGCCTTCTGAAGTAACTCTGGATCAGTGGTTCTCAACCCGTGGGTCGCAACCCCTTTGGGAGTCGAACGGCCCTTTCACAGGGGTCCCACATTTCATAACAGTAGAAAAATTAGTTATGAAGTAGCAACGAAATAATGTTATGGTTGGAGGAACCGTATTAAAGGGTAGCGGCATTAGGAAGGTTGAGAAACACTGGTCTGGATCAACACAACAGATAAACCACCCCTTACTACAACTACTATCCTAGCAAACACCATGCAGCAAAAGCAGAGCAAAACTGGATATGGGGCAAGAATATACAGAAAAGTCTTCTCTATGGATAAAACCTACTAGGAAGATTGGAGGTTGAGGGTGAAGGACAAACCTTGCAAACACTCTCATGACTGAGCATTCTACAAGAAAGCATTGGAGAAATTTGAGGTCTTTAGTACAGTGAAAATAACAATATAGTTATTTTATCTATAACCTTTTATCCACAGAGAATAAATTCCAAGACTCCCAGTGGATGCCTGAACTGTGAATAGTATCAAACCATATATATATATATGTTTTTTCACAGTAAGGAGCATGAACCTATCAGGTGTCGACAGAGTGCAGCACAGTCACTCACCCACTGTGGTTTCCACACTTGTGCCATGCAGAGGAAGCCAGTTCTGGGAAAAAGTGGGATAGCAGGAGATTTCTACCAAGTTACTCAAAATAGTGTGCAATTTAAATATTTTCAGACCACAGAAAGTGAAACCTCAGATAAGGTGGACTACTGTAATAATAAAACCTAACTGATCTTACTATGGACTCGAGTTACTAGATGAACAGTAATTGCTTGACAGAAAAAAAGGGGGCTCCCAATTCCAGCTTTATGTACAATCTATTTCCATCAATATTCATCTATATATCTCTAGCATACAATCAAAAATTATAAAGCACACAAGCAACAAACATCTAGGAGGGGGAACAAATTACATAACAAAAGACACTAAAATAAACTAAAACCACACCCATTATCATCAAGTCGATTCTGACTCACAGGATAGAGTAGAATTGTTCCCTAAGGTTTCCAAGACTGTAAATCTTCATAGGAACAGACAGCTCTCATCTTTCTTCTGCAGAAGAGATGGTGGGTTTAAATTGCTTACCTAATAATGCCACGGCTCCAGAATAATCGAATAGGGAATTTAAAATAACTATGTTAAAAGATCTAGTTGAAAAGGTGGAAAAAATATTTGAACAGATGATGAATATAAGCAGAGATAGGAAACTATAAAAGACAAATGAAAACACCTGAAATATTATTTAAAAGGAGGCAGAGATTATGAATTGTACTGATTGAATCATCACTTGATTCACCTGGCCAAGGACAGAATCAATTAATTTGAAAATGAAGTAATACAAATTACCTAAGCTGAAAGACAAAGAGAGGAGAGAGGGTTGATGGAAAAACAAGCCCTAATACCCTTCAAAACTTAACTACAAAGCTAGAATAATCAAAATAGAGTGGTCTTGGCACAAGGGAGACACAGATCAATGAAATAAAAGTGACAGTGCAGAACTGAGCCTTTATGTTTAAGCTCAATTGATTCTTGTCAAAGGTGTTAAATTAATGGTGTTAAATTAAATTAATAAATTAAGGTGTTAAATTAAAGTCTTTTCAATAACTAGTGGTAGAACAACTTGAGATCCATATTCAAAAGGAAGAATTTGGGCCCTTCACGTCATGTACTGAAATTAACTCTAAATGGATGAGATATGAAAATTAGAGGAAAAACCATAAAGCTCTTATAGGAAAGCAAAGGTAAATCTTTGTGACCCTGCATTAGACAATGGGTTTTAGACCCAACACCAGAAACCATAGGCCATTTAAAAAAAAAGATCAGTGAACATCAAAATTTTAAACTTTCATGCTTCGAAGGACACCATCAAGAAACTTAAAAACAACAAAATAAGAGAAAATATTTGCATATTATACATCTTACATAGATAATATATAAATAACTCTCATAGCTCAGTAAAAAAATAACCCTATTGAAAAATGACCAAGTATTGAATGGATATATGTTAATAGGTAGACATACAAAAAGATAAGGATCAATGAGTGCTGTGCAGTTCAGTGGAAAACTTCTTGGCTACCATGAGACCCAGTTTTAACACCTGGCCAACGCACCTCAAGCAACAAATATTATTGTGCACCTGAAAGCTTTGGGTAAGAAAGAAGTTGAAGGGGAGAGGAGTTGAATGAAGTTAGGACATATTTGAATTTGGAAAAATCTTTCATAAATTAGTATAGACTTAAGTCCTTTCTCTAATTGGAAACTTACATATATGTACAATACTACATTAATAGATATATCCTAAAATTTTAAATTCTCTAAATAGCAAATTTTACATTATACTAATATTTAAAGACAGGAAGATAGAAGAAAACAAAAAGACTAATTGCAACTGAAATAAGGAATTCAATAAACAATCTTAGGAAAAATGCTATTCTTGTAAAAAATGTTAAAGTATAGAACATGAAAGTACATAATTCTACATATGTAATACATGTAAGAAGTAACAATATATATATCACACCTCCTCTTCCCCATTTTTAAATACGAAACAATTTTGTTATATAGAAATATTTTTTGAACCAAAATTTACCAAACATACTCAATAAAAAAATGACAGCCAGAGAGATAAATTTGTAAAAATTAGTCATACAAACAGTCCTGTAATTACAACCATTAGTTATCAAAGCTCAGATATACAAAAGAATTACAGCTCTGCAGTACTGCAATTTGGCTTCTACAAACATAGCCATATTGACATCTAAAACAACCTGTTTACCTCCTCCATAAAAAAAATAGCTCTAGGGGAGATTAAATCTGCTAAGGCCAGGCAGACCTTCAAACAATCAGGCTAGTGGATAACTATCTCAAAGAAAAGCTGAGTTATAAAGATTACCTCAGCAACTTTTGGAGGCACTCCATCCCCAAGCACTTCCCTGATGAAGCAGTGCTGGCCCATGTAATATGACAGTCCACAGGTTCTCTTGAAGGCATCTTTCAGTCGTTTCAGCTCTACATCTGTAACTATAGTAGAATGTGGGTTATAAAACAGGAGGGAAACTAAGATACTAACAATCTTTCAATTTAATTTTTTTCAACCAAATTCCTAAGAGAAATTGAAAAATACTATTCTCTTTCCAGATATGTTAAAAGCAAAACAAAATTTAAAAGCCACAGGTATCCTCTTGTTAAAAACCTAATATTTTTTAATCTAGTGCAGTCAAGATGAAAATTCTTAACTTGTTATTTTCAAAAGACAGATCTATAAACTACACATAGAAAATTTTAGCAGAGAACAAGGGCTTCAAATTAGCAAACAACCTAAATGGCATTTCATTCTGGCATTAATATTTTTCAGCAGCAATATGTTCATTTCTTTCAAAATAAAATTTCTATTCTGTAATCCTTAGGCACATGTCCATCCATGTAGAGGATAGCCCCAAGTTAAATGTAAGAGTTTGCCATCATTTAAAAGCAGTGACCGAAGGATTTTAAAACTTGTAATCCATAGCCAAAGGAGGGAATAGTATCAGGGAATAGTATGAGAGATTCTGGTTTGCAGTAGGCTATCAATGACAGTGGAAGCCCATAATAAAGGGATGGGAAGAAACTTGTTACCAAACAGAATGCACTGGAAAGATGACTATAGTATATCAAAGTGATAAACCTGATTTGAACTTTGAAAACCTTGTCACCTGATGCTCTCCCCCTTTCCAACTGGATCCCTATGCACATTAAGCCTGATCTGGGTTTTCAACATTTTCTGTTTGTTTGTTTCATATTGGGGTTTATGTCTGATATATTCTGTCATTGTGGGTAACCAACCTCTTGAATTTTTGTTATAGGTTTTTCTATTTTGGGGTATATGAAACCCAGGATTGATGAATCTATAGAGACAGCAAGTAGAATAAGGGTTGCTGGAGGGCACATAGGGGACGGGGTAAAGAGGAGCTGATATCAAGGAGTTCAAGAAGGAAGAGAATGTTTTAAAACTGATTGTGGTAGCAATTGTACTACACTGCTTGATGTTGCTGAATGATGTAATGACATGACATCTGTATTAGCTCCCAATAAAATGGTTTGGGGGAAAAATAAATTAAAAGGAGGATCATCTACAAATAGGTTATATTAACAATCTAGATAGTTTAGACACCTATCACAATAGAAAATCAGAAAGAATTATTGAACCATTATTTTAGACATGAATTGAAAACTACAAGAAAACAATCTCTTTCTACAAAGATAGAGAAATAAATACCGTAGTGGGAACTCACTTGAAGGCAGTGAGTTTTGTAGTATTTTTAGAGTACAGTGATTAGAATGGAGGCATAGAAATGGGCCCAAGGTGAGAAATACACAAACCTCTGGAAGAATCAGGTAACTACATTAAATTTGAAAGGATAAACTAAGCAAAATATAAAGACAAAGACATGCCAGGTGATAAAAATACTGTTTTTTAAACTCAATGGTATACAGAATAACTCATTACTCACTGTCCTCAAGTCAATTCTGACTCACAGTGACCCAATAGGGCAGGGCCTGTCATGTTCCAAGACTGTAACTCTTTACTGGAGTAGAAAGCTTGTCTTTCTCCCAAGGAGTGGGATGGTGGTTTAGAACTGTTGGCCTTGTGGAAATGGTAACCACTATGCCACCAGAGCTCCTTGCATGTTACTAGAACCAAATAAATATGGCAGGGAATAGTACATACAAGCAGACTTCCTAGATACTGTGGGGTTGGTTTCAGACAACTACATTAAAATAAATATCAGAATAAAGCAAATCATACATTTTTTGGCCTACCAGTACATATAAAAGTTATGTTTATCATTCTGGAGGAGAAAACAATGGGACTGATGGTTCTGGGAGGACATGGGAGGGGAAAGTGGGGGAAAGGAAGTTGTGTTAACCAACCCAAGGACAAGGGATCAACAAGTGATCGAAATCAGTGGCAAGGAGGGTGTAGGAAGCCTGGTGGGGATTGATCAAGGACAATGTAACGGAGAGGAATTCCTGAAACCCAAATGAAGGCTGACCATGACAGTGGGACAAGAGGAAAGTAAAATGAAACAGAGGAAAGAACTAGGAGGCAAAGGGAATTTATAGAGGTCTAAATACAGGCATGTACATAAGTAAATATATTTATATATGATGATGATTTGCTAAGACACAGGTTGATGTGCTAGACCATCATCGTAAAAAAAAAAAAAAAAGCACTATCTGCAGAATTCAGTGAAGCAAGTTATGCCAGTAAATGATAAATCTAGAGAGGCAGCAATATCTACTCAAAGAGGTTTTCTTTTTCTGTTCTAATGAGTTTGGGCTTAATGTTAGAAGGGACATACACAGATATAATTCACATAGCTCATTCTCCCAACAGAGTAAAGAACAGATTTTAGGTAGGACAAAAAAAATCTAGATACAGTAAGTAGAAATGCTACAACAAGTGGAGACAAAACTGGGAAAGATCTAGGAGGGGAAAAGTCGATAGAACTTCATGCTTGACTAGAAGTAAAAGTAATTGAGAATATTCAGGTATCTTTCCTACAAAACTTGAGGGGAGATAAGTGTTTTCGTGTGAACAGGGAAAGGAAGGAAGGAAGGAAGGAAGGAAGGAAGGAAGGAAGGAAGGAAGGAAGGAAGGAAGGAAGGAAGGAAGGAAGGAAGGGGAAAAAGATGATAAATTCCATTTGGACATCTTGAATATGAGAAACTTTAGGTGCCCATTGGGTTTTAAGAATTACAGGTGTAAAGGTGATGGAGGTTTAATGGGTGTCAACAATCTAAAAGTGGCAAATAAAATCATGAGTAGGAAACACTGTAAGACAAAGACAAAACCAAAAGAAACCAATGGTTCCAATGTGTGGAGAGGAAGGACCTAACTGTAGAAAGGACACAGAAAAGTAATAGAAGGATAAAAGGAGCAAAGATGAGAGTGTAGTCTCTAAAAGCCAGAAGGGGGAAGGAGTGAGCTAAAGTCTGAAATGTGCCTGGCATATAGCTAATCACTCAATAAGTGTCTGTAGTAGGGAGGGAGGGTTGATGGGCTCTACTACATGCAGGGGAAATGATAAAAGAATAAGATCCAGTGTGTTAATAAGGAGCTAGAGAAAAGTGTAAGCAGGAGGTACTTAATTCACTAAAAAGTAAACTCATAGTATTAATATCTGCAACACAATAACTTGATGTCTTATTTTTTAGAATGCAAAAGTGAAAAAATAGAACAATCTTACATCATAAATTATAGTAATGGAAAAGATATGACCAACTACTGGAAAACCGTTTTTTTAAGATGTCTAATTTTCATTAATGGTTTTTCTAATAAATTAGTTTGCTCATAGTCTAGTGAAGAGAAGAAAAAAACAACCATTAGAATACAGTATGAGAGTCTAATGCATTATTGGTTACAGATTATTTGTAAGACTGTTTGATAATGCAATCCCATGACCAAGGAATTTATTCATTTATAATAGAAAGAAAAATGTATTTAACAAGCTTTCAAAAACATTTATAAAAAGTCCATTAAGGTAAACAAGCAGCATCTAGCTCGGAAGCAACAAAGCCCACATGGAAGAAGCACCACCAGCCTGTGCGATCACGAAGAGTCAAAGGGATGAGGTATCAGGCATCATCAGAACAAAAAAGTCCTATCATTGTGAATGAGGGGGAGTGCGGGGTGGAGACCCAAAGCCCATCTGTAGAAAACAGTACATCCCCTTACAGAAGGGTTGCAGGGAGGAGATGAGCCAGTCAGGGTGCAGTATAGCAATGATGAAACATACAACTTTCCTCTAGTTTCTAAATGTTTCCTCCCCACCCACTATCATGATCCTAATTCTACCTTACAAATCTGGCTAGACCAGAGGATGTACACTGGTACAGATAGGAACTGGAAACACAGGGAATCCAGGGCGGATGATCCCTTCTGGACCAGTGGTGAAAGAGGTGATACTGGGAGAAGGTTGGAGGGAAGGTGGGGCTGAAAGGGGGAACCGACTACAAGAATCTATATATACCTTCCTCCCTGGGGGACGGACAACAGAAAAGTAGGTGAAGGGAGACGTCAGACAGTGCAAGATATGACAAAATAATAATTTATAAATTATCAAGAGTTCATGAGGGAAGGGGGCGTAGGGAGGGAGCAGAGAAAATGAGGACCTTATGCCAGGGGCTTAAGTGGAGAGCAAATGTTTTGAGAATGATGAAAGCAATGAATGTGCACATGTGCTTTACACAATTGATGTATGTATGGATTATGATGAGTTGTATGCGCCCCTAATAAAATGTTGTTGTTTTTTTAAATCCATTAACTGAAGATAGGCTGAATATGCTATGGTATACTCTCAAATACCAGACCAAGATGGAAATGTTTCATAGACCCACATTCACTGAAAATTAGGAGTATCTTTATTTGCCTTTTTTATTAAAAAAAAAACTAACATTTAGATAATTCTACATAAAATAATATAGGAAAGTGTTCATTTGTAAATGTTGGAGTGGGAAGGTGAATGAACTGCACCCACAAATATAAATAGGTTTGACAGAGGCTATCTCTACACATGCACTTATATATACTACAAATATATTCATGAATGTCATAGAACATACAAAGGACAACGTTATGAAAATGTATTAGTCTCTTAACCAAATATCTTGAGAGAAGGAGTCATGGACTTGGGATCAATTTCAGGATCATAATCTCAGGGGACATTCAAGGTCAGTTGGTGGTATAACATAGTCCACAAAGACAGTATTCTACATCCTATTCTGATGAGTTATCAACTGGGATTTTAGAAAGACCTTTTAGCAGTCATCCAAGGTGCAACTAGTGATTTCCCCCCATCCAGAACAAAAAGAGTGAAGAAAATTAAAGATGTATGGAGGACTAACAGACCATATGTATCCCAGCCTCTAAATGGGAGAAAATGTAGAACAAAACTCAAAAGAGACCAAACTTACTGGTCTGAAAAGAGACTGGTGAAACCCCTGAAGCTAAAGCCCTTACATGCCCGCCCTTCATGTCT